CTGGATTCTGGAACGGTTCCCATTGATTGGAAGATTGCAAACGTAACACCACTATTTAAGAAGGGTGGGAGAGAAAAGATGGGGAACTATAGACCAGTTAGTCTGACATCAGTGGTAGGGAAAATTCTTGAGTCCTTAATTAAGGATGTCGTTATGGGATTCCTGGAAGACCATAACAAGATTAGGCAGAGTCAACATGGCTTTACAAAAGGGAAGTCATGCTTAACTAATCTTTTAGAGTTTTTTGAAGATGTATCTAGCAGGTTAGATAGGGGGAACCAGTAGATGTAGTATATTTAGATTTTAAAAAGGCATTTGACAAAGTGCCACACAAAAGGCTATTGCACAAGGTTAAGGCCCACGGGATTAATGGGAACATATTAGCATGGATTGAAAAGTGGCTAACGGGTAGAAATCAGAAAGTAGGGATAAACGGGTAATTCTCGAATTGGCAGGATGTGACTAGTGGAGTGCCACAAGGATCAGTGCTTGGGCCTCAGCTATTTACAATTTATATCAATGATCTAGACGAGGACATTGAATGTAATGTATCTAAATTCGTGGATGACACTAAACTAGGTGGGAGAGTAAGCTCTGAGGATGATGCAAAAAGATTGCAACGGGATATAGATAGGCTCGGGGAGTGGGCAAGTAGGTGGCAGATGGAATTTAATATGGAGAAATGTGAAGTTAGGTTGCACCTAGGTTGCAAAAATAGAAAAACAGATTATTTTCTAGAAGGGGAGAGATTAGATAGTGTTAGTGTTCAGAGGGATTTGGGTGTCCTTGTACACCAGTCTCAAAAAGTTAGTTTGCAGGTGCAGTAAGCAACTAAGAAGGTGAACGGCATGTTAGCGTTCATTGCAAAAGGTTCAGAGTACAAGATTAGGGAAGTCTTGCTGCAACTATATATAGGGTCTTGGTGAGACCGCACCTAGAGTATTGTGTGCAGTTTTGGTCTCCTTATTTGAAAAAGGACATACTTGCCTAAGATTGCCTTAGTGCAGCGTAGATTCACAAGGTTAGTTCCTGGGATGAGGGGACTGACCTATGAGGATAGGCTGAATAAACTAGGGCTATATTCTCTAGAGTACAGAAGAATTAGGGGAGATCTTATTGAAACATATACAATTCTTAAAGGGCTGAATAAAGTAGACACTGAGGGTCTGTTTCCCCTGGTAGGAGAATCTATAACCAGGGGTCACAGTCTTAAAATTAAGGGTCAGCCTTTTAGAACAGAGTTGAGGAAACATTTCTTCACTCAGAGGGTAGTGAATTTATGGAATTCACTACCCCAGAAGGCTGTAGATGCTCAGTCCTTGAACATCTTCAATGCTGAGACTGATAGATTTTTAAAAAACAGGGATTAGGGGATATGGGGATAGGGCAGGTAATTAGAGTTAGGTCTGAAGATCAGCCATGATCTGATCAAATGGCGGGGCAGGCTCCAGGGGCCAAATAGCCTACTCCTGCTCCTAATTCTTATGTTATTAATTAATTGCACTGAACTTCATTACTCATGACAGTATCAGAAGTGGGTAGAGGGGCCCTAGGAAAAGGACACTTGGAAAGAGGGTATAACTAGCCCACTTCTAGGTGAGAACAGTTAGAAGAACAGGAAGGCTCCAGAGAGAGAGAGACCAGTGTGGATAGGTCCCTTTAAGGAGATTAAGGAAGGTGTTCTATGACTGTTCACAAAGACTGGTAGTATAATTTGTTAGACCTTTGTAGTAACTTGTTAATGCATGTTGTGTTCACTCTGTTCATAATAAACCTTGCTACACCATATTTGGATTGTCGAGTCATATTTTGAACTACTGGATCGGAAATCCCAACAATGTTAAACCAAAGAAGCGCAATATAAGGAGATTTACATCCATTTAGATCATAACTGAGATAAAGACAACAAGCACAACTCATATTTACTAATTTATGTGATAATGTAGTCGTATTGAATTAGATAAGGCTGTGAGTGCGTAAGAAATTGGATTGCATCGTCATGGTGGTTCTCAAGGATGGAAACGATGCATGGTGACAGTAGAAAGTAACTATTATCTGATTGTGCAAAGTTTCAGACCACATGAGAATGTCATTTTGATTCAATTTCATTTACAAATCAATTAGTACTCTTTGAAGACTACACATAGTGATGACTTTTGAAACATACTGACATATGATTTTACACATTTTACTGGTAAATAATTTTTTAAAAAATTTATGTTTAGATGGAGTTTACTATGCAATTTACATTTATATTTATATTTTCACCAGGAGGATGTCTCAAAGCGTTCCACTGCTGGAAGGGCACCCAATTTGAGTGTGGGAGCTGAGATAAGTGGGGAGGAGAAAGATAACTGAAAGTGCAGTCAAAGAGGTTTGTTTTGAGATGTGCCTTGAAAGAGGAGAGGGAAGATCAAGAGTATCAACAGTAAACAGCAGAAATCATCATCATTGCATCAGATTTAGCACATTATGTTGAAACAATTATGTTTTGCATACAAAATATACCCAGTCAATTCACTTTACAGTGTATACTATACAGAGCTTTGAGACATCTCGAAGACGTGATAAATTTGTTAGACATTTGTAGTAACTTGTTAATGCATGTTGTGTTCACTCTGTTCATAATAAACCTCAAATGCAAGGATGATTATTATTATAAACATACAAGTACAAAATTACAAATACAAAATTACATTTGTATAATGCCTTCCACGTTGTGAGGACATTCCAAGGCACTGAAACATCTCAAAGCACTTCACCTTATTTGCAGGTGAAAATGACAGCCAAGATACAAATGGACAAGAACTAACTAATCATTTATTTTCTTTGGAGAATTCGCAAGGATATTGAGAGAAACTCTTCTTTTTTTCAAATAGTGACATGTGATTTGAACAATCACCTGAATAGACAGATGGGACCATTTAACATTTCATCCGAAGGACAACACCTCCGACAATGCAGGCCTCTTAACACTGGAATGTCAGTTTTGACTGTAAGCACAAAGTCCGATATGGGACTTGACCCCACAATCTTTTGACTGTGAGTGCTACCAAGTGACGCAGCCTGACACTACAGTATATACACTATATACAGTATATACAGTATATACACTGCTATATGCTTCACAACCATATGCCCCAACTACCTACAGAAGTTAAATCAGGCTAATGTGTCAGCAAAAATGAAATAGTCAAGTGCATTTCATCCAGATGATTTTTTCCCACTTTGAAATGGCAGGACAAGTTGTAGGGAACCAAACTAGTTAGATAAAACTGGCTTTGAGATTTGCCCTTAGGGGCCAGCTATGTATATTGATTTGAAACAAACTATGTGGTATAATTCTCTTTAATGTTTCCAAAGCATGAGAAGATACATCATTTATGTACACAGGACATACTTGTTATAAGGCAGGTTGACTTATAGCACTGGTCTACTGCTAGTTTTTTAAAAAATGTTTTCAAAAGGGACCGATCAAGAACTTATGAGGGACCTATTTCAATGTCTTCAGTCAGACTAATAAAGGAAATTGTTTTAGTGGCAAAGCCATCTCTGTAAGAAAGGAAACTGTTTTACTGGCAAAGCTGTGCGCAATTGGCTGCTGCGTTTCGCCCAAAATATATAGTCAATTCACTTTGCAGTATATTCTGTGAAGTGTTTTGGGACATCTTGAAGGTGTGATAAGGCGCTATATCATATGCAAGGATTTTTATCTCGTGGTGGCTGCTCACCAACCAGATGCATGAATCACTTTTTTGGATTGGGTGACTGCAACTGCATTTAAGTGGCATTTTCAGAATGGATTGATGTAATTTCTACATCACGTGGTTGCTAAAAGCATAGTATAACTGGGTCTTCAGAAAGACTCAAGTGGTTTGCACTCATCTTAATGAGTGTCAGACCTGATTTATGTTCTATTTACTCAAAACGATGCAATTGTTAAACACAATTGATGTTTTTAAGGTACACAAAGTGTGGACAAACAAAAACCATAATTTTATCAATTATTATTTGTTGTACAAAAATCTTTAAGAAAAAAAACCTCGATTGGGGAGGGCCTAATGCAAAAATGAGAAGTTTGATTCCCTAATCCTTTCATCTTGATGCATGCTCACTTGAAAAATAACAAACATAATCAATCAAAATAAACTCCAGCACTCACTCCATGATTTAAGTTGCAGGTGGGAGTGCATAATAATTCCAGTGACATTTGAAATGGGATGTGCAATTAAAATGAATTCATATGATAGTTTTATGCTGTGTGTTTTACCTTTCAAAAACATCAGTTACCACTGAATCAAGAACCAAGCTTTGCAGGAACTAAGCTATTTGTGCTTTAATTTGCCAATTGCAAATGATGTGTCAGGTTGGCTAAGTTGATTGTGGGTTCAAGCCCCATGTTGGTACTTGGAACTCCTAGAGTCTAAGCTGACACTCCGTTGCAGTGCTTATGGAACTCTTTGCCCAAATCCCTGGACCTTCCCCTTCTTTCCCCATTTTCAGATCACACTTGAAAACCTTCCTCTTCAACTGTTCTTACAGTCACCTTCCCCCTCGCCCCGACTTGGCCTCAGACTGTTAAGCGCCTTGAGTGTGAAAGATGTTCTATAAAATACAGATTACTGTCATTGTTGGAGGTGCCATATGTTGGATGAGACATTAAACCGTGGCCCCGTCTGCCTGTTGAGGTGAATGATTCCATGGCACTATTTGAAAAGAGTTTCTCTCTCCCATTGTCCTGGGTAACAACCCCCCCCAAATAAAACTGGTCATTTGTTCCATTAATATGAGCAACTGGTTGCTATATTAGCCCACAAAACACAATCACACCACTTTACAGTATGTCCTGTGAATTGCTTTAGCACATCCTCCTGACATGAAAGGCGTTGTACCAAAATATAAGGACTATTATTGTTATTAGCAAAGATAAACCTGGTCAGCTTCAGGTGACAGCATACTGCATCATTACCTACTATTTTTCATTGGCCAATTTACTGTACCTGGCTTATACTTTAGAAGCAATTCCCATATTCCTCTTCTGGCGTATGGATCGACACCTGCAGTCGGCTCATCCAAAATCACTGTTTTTGATCCTCCCACAAATGCAATGGCCACAGACAATTTTCTTTGCATCCCCCCTGTAAAGTGGGTCAATGGGAATGTTATTTACATTATTGCTTACTTTCCTATTGGGATTAAAAGAATCCTGAAATAAGCATTTAATTGAGTCTATAACACATATCACTTAAATCTGATGGAAGTATCAGCTCAGATAACAGAGGGATAATAATTATAATCTATCATTTATCAAGTGTGTATAAACAGGGACATCCTATTTCAATTGAGTGAACCTTATTTTATATTGATTTGACTTCTTCTGTCGTACACTTGATACAGGAATAAAGATTTTGACACATTTAACACATTTGAATTGGGAATGGATTTGACTTTGAAAATTGTGGATTTGACCTGAAATTTGCATCATTTACATATAAAGTTTGAATCTGACTGCCAAAATACTTAAAAACAAACTGAAGAAGTTCATACCCATATTACGCATCTCAAGTAAGCTGCACAGTTAAAGTATTGTTTCCACACCTGCTGGAGAGAAGTCATGCCATTTGGATTTTGAGAAAACACTCCTTAAGAGAATCAATTAAGCCATCCATAAAGTATTTTCTGGAACACTGGATACAACAGATGGAATTTAGAAATTAAGGCTCCATACTTCTCTTATAATAGCATTAATTTCAAATGTTCCACTAACTGGCTATTCCAGGGGCAAGACTATGCAATGCATAATCCTGGCTAAGTGTACGTTATGTTTCATCAGTTCTGTGTACCGTCAACAATCTATTGATCAGGGCAATATGTCACCAAGTGTTAGACCCTATGAAGTTCAAGTGAACAAGAACTTCTCAACAGTTCCTGGTCTATCAAAAAAGGTTAGTGACTGGAATATTCTAATAGAGATAAAATATAAAGCTTACACCATTCCTAGGATATTCCTTTCTTTATTCTAGCCACTACTTGTAAATAAAATAAATTGTGGCAGTCCTTTTTAATAGCCCTTAAATCTTTGTTTCACTGGTATTCATTTTACTCCTGGAGGCATACCCGAATCAGTGTGCAACTGGGATTTTTACAGTAACTACTACGGCAGAGGAAGTTTATGTTTGGATAAATTAAATGATAATGCCATGCACAAAGGGACATTCTGTTTTGTGTGTGGGAGAAATTATATAAAAGTCATGAATCTTTAATGTCAATTATTTTCCATTTAGAAAGTTGTGCTAATACAATATAAGAGAAATTTCTCCTTTAACCACATTGATATAGTTATGTAACGTCCTCATAGGTAACTCATTTATTAGGTAACGTTTGCAACATTGTAGAGTGCTTATTCAGCATGATCTGCGTTTTGTAGTATTTGAGCATTATTGCAACAAATGCTATCATTATTGATAGAAACATTGCAAAAAGCATTATTTTTAGATATCAATACACTTCTATAAATGGAATAAACCAAGGACACTTTTACCATTGTTTACCACAATGCCTGAGAGAAGACTTATTTTAAATGAATGACAGTGTGACAGAAACAATTTTATTCAAGAGCTGCACAATCAAGTATTACACTGTCAATCTCATCCTGAAGAATAACAACCCACAAGAATAATAATCAGTTTTTATGTTTCGCATGAAAATGCTTTCTCTAAAGAGTTAGCAGAGAATTCCCAAACAATCCTTATACTGTATATGACCGTAAAATAACTGTAAAATAAAATAATCACAGCTCACAAATGCTAACTTTATCATTTGAAGTAAGGCAGGTACTCATATTAAATTCAGGACTTGGATCCATTTTAACTTTCTGTTTCATATAAAGTTATGGTTTGTTAACTTATAAAGTTAGTTACGGTTGTTTTTCCGACTGGAGGGAAGTGTGCAATGGTATCCCCTGTGGGTCAGTATTGGGACCACTGCTGTTTTTGAGCTATATAAATAACCTGGAGTTGGGTATAGGGAGTACAATTTCCAAGTTTGCAGATGATACAGTAAATAGTGAGGAGAATAGTAACAGACTGCAAATGGCCATAGACAGACTGGTAAAATGGGCAGACACGTGGCAGATGAAGTTTAATGTGGATAAATGAGAAGTGATGCATTCTGGAGGAAGAATGAGGAGAGGCAATATAATAATATAGTAGAATCTTAAAGGAGGTGAAGGAACAGAGAGACTTGGGGTTTCATATAACTAAATCTTTGAAGGTGGCAGGACAGGTAGATAAAGCTGTTAAAAAAGCATACGGGATACCAGGCTTTATAAATAGGGGCATAAAATACAAATGTCAGGAAGTTATGATGAACCTTTATAAAACACTGCTTAGGTCTCAGCGAGAGACTGTGTTCAGTTCTAAGCACCTTGAAGAATTTCAAGGCATTAAAGAGTGTGCAAACGAGATTTACCAGGATGGTACCAGGAATGAGGGACTTCAGTTATCAGGAGAGGCTCGAGAAGCTAGGATTATTCTCCTTGGAGCAGAGAAGGTTAGAGGAGACTTAACAGAAGTTATCAAAATTATGAGGGTATTCGATAGGGTGAACGAGGGGAAATTATTTCCTGGCGGGTTGGCCGGTAACCCGAGGACACTGATTTAAAATAGTTTTTAAAAGAGAAGAAATTTTTTTTACACAGCAAGTTGTTTGGATCTGGAATACATTGCCTGAAAGGGTGGTGAAGCCAATTCGATAACAGCTTTTAAAAGAGAAGTAGATAATTATTTGGGGAGGACAAGTTTGCAGGGCTATGGGGAGAGCGGGGAAGTGGGATTAAATTGGAAAGTTCTTTTCAAAGAGCCGACACAGACACGAAGGGCTGAATGGCCACCTTTTGTGCTGTATAATTCTATGATTCTATGATGACTAGAATTTGGTAGTACTGAGGACCAGTTTTGGTTTGCCTTCATTTCAGGTAAACAATGCAGCAGGTATATATTTTTGCTGTTTTTTTGCTTTTTTTTTTGTCAGTCCTGTTCATACACAAGACCATACTGACAGTAACACAGCAGCTTGTTGTTTTCTTATTTTGAATTCTCATGGTGTTGGTGACAAAATCATGATATTAGTTGTGATGAAGAAAGTGATGAAAGTTATGATGAAGAAAGTGCCCCATCTGATCTCATCCTTTCAGATCTTCCACCATCCTGTCTTTTCAGTGTCCTGGCCTCAACCGCTCTTCCTGGCAACCTGTTCCTGTCATTAAATTAAGTAAATACTTCCTGGTGTCTGACCTAATTTTGTCCTTTGCAACTCTTGGTGGCTGAAAAGACCTGATTAACAGCAGTTGTTAGATTTTATATATTTATTGTGTTTCATTTGCACAATTGATTTATGGCGTTGATGGTTTTATGCATCCAAAAACACAGTTTATAATATAAAAGGTGTATGCATTCATAGAATTTGCTTTGCTTCCAGTCTAGAGAATCTATCTCAATCTACTTTTCATCCATCCAACATCTTTTTTTGGAGGGGGGAATAAGATCTGTATCTATTCTGAGTAATTGCTTTTTAATCAATGACCCAAACTACACAAGCTTTACATGTATATACTACCCCTATGAAATCAGGAACCAAAATAATAGAAGTTAAAAATGGAGATTATACAACTTAGATCTTCCCTAATTCTCATTTCGCTGCACTTATATTTTACTCTGTCCTTAATTTTAAAAAATGTGCAGCAGACGGCTTAGAATAATGGTATTTATTGTAGAATTACCACCACAGAAAAATGTACTGCCCCCAGGATTTCTGCATTTTTTTCCATTGCTTTCAGGCAGCACACATTGGTCTGACTTTATCAAACTTTACATAGTATGGGGTCCCTATACTATGCAAAATTGCTACCCATATTTAATCTTCATAACAACCACCCTTCATCAGAATAGCTAATGGATGTTTCCTTCAAATAAAGTTTTTTGAAAAACAACAAAATTACATTTGTATAGTGCCTTTCACATCAGGAGGATGTCCCAAGGCACTGGACAATCAGTATTTTGGACCCGAGCTGGGTTCGGATTAGGGAGGGTGGAGTGCAGGGTGGGGAAGCAGGGTGATCGAATGCATGGTTGAAGAGGAGAGTCTGAGATGGGTCTTGAAGGAGTCAAGGGAGGGGGCGAGGCAGCGGGACTGCAGGATGGGGTTCAAGAGAGTGCAGGCGGAGTGGCAGAAGGCCCGCCCACTATTGATGGGGCAGGCAGGGGAACGTGAAGGCCGGAGCCCCCTGAGCGGAGGGGGTGGGCAGAATGGTTGCAGAAGTAGGGGGGAGAGAGGCCATGGAGGGCTTTGAAGGTAAGAACCAGGATCTTGAACCCTGAGTGATGGGAAGCCAGTAGATTTGGGCGAGGATGAGGGTGATAGCGTCATGGAGCCTGTTGCGGGATATTGTGACATACTGTGTTACAAAATCTATTTTCTTACCTGAGAGATTTTTCACCAAGTCTTTACGCTTATTTGGCAACCCAACATCATTGATCATTCGATCTATTTCCTCTTCTACCTCCTTTGAGCTGCATTCCTTCAAGCATGCATAAAAGTAAATGTGCTCTTCAACAGTTAGCCTGTTTATGGAATAAAAAGTGTTATCTATTTTATTAAAATGGCCAAAGTCATAGATTATCCTGCTGTCATTTTTTGTTCTACTATTCTCTATCAGGCAAGCTACCAACCACATTGCCAATTTTTATAATTAATCAGTGATCGAAAACTCTTTAAGAACATGTTACTAAAAGCTTACAGGTCTTTTCTCTGGAAACAAGGCATTTAAGAAGGGACCTGACAGAAGTTTACAATTGATGAAAGTTCAATAAAGTGGACATAAAAAGGCTGTTTCCACTTGTTGGCGAACCTATAAAAAGGAGGCATAACAACAAGATATGGTATAATAAGATAGTCACTAGTAATTAGGAGGAACATATTAGGAGGAATGTGAAATTCACTGCCACAAGCTATGCTTGAAGCAAAAAATATCAATGTATTTAAGATGAAACTCAAGGCAACATGATTTTTGGGGGGCGAAACACAGTAGCCAATTGGGCACAGCAGTGTCCCATGGATTTTAAGGAATTATTACCCCGGAAAAGTGATTTGCCAATCGACTAATTACCAGGTTAATAAAAATAATAATCTTCCTTGCATTTGATATAGTGCCTTATCACATCTTCGAGACATCTCAAAGCGCTTCAGAGAATATACTGTAAAGTGTGGGAACACTCAGCAGGTCAGGCAGCATCTATGGAGAAAGGAAAGTGAGTCAACGTTCTCCGTTCTGACAAAGGGTCGTGGACCTGAAACATTGACTCACTTTCCTTTCTCCATAGATGCTGCCTGACCTGCTAAGTGTTCCCAGTGACTTCTGTTTTTGTTTTCAGATTTCCAGCATCTGCAGTATTTTGCGATTTGTTTTGTACCATAAAGTGTAGTGACTGTATATTTTGTGGTCGAAATGTGGCAGCCAATTGCACACAGCAGTGTTCCACAAACAGTTGTGGATTGAGTGACCAAATTATTATTCTTTTTTTTAAAAAAAATTAAAAAGGGATTATGACCAATTTGGGCGAGTCCTCAATTTGAGTATTGTGCCCAATTCTGGGCAACACAGTTTAGGAAGGACATCAAGGCCTTGGGGAGATTGCAGAGGAAATTTACCAGAATGGTACAAGGGACGAGGGACTTTCGTTATGTGAAGAGGCTAGATAAGTTGTAATTATTCTACTTTGAGTAGAGAAAATTACGGGGAGATTTAATACAGCTATTCAAAATTATGAGGGATTTTGATAGAGTAGATAGGAAGAAACTGTTTCAATAGGCAGGAGAGTCGGTAACCAGGGGACACAGATTCAAAATAATTAGCAAAAGAACTAGACAAGGAGAATCTTTTTTTTACACAGAGAAGTGTTACGGTCTGAAATGCACTGCATAAAAGGGTGGTGTAAACAGATTCAATAGCAACTTTTAAAAGGGGATGGGAGAGAAACAATTTGCAAGAATATGGCAAAAGCACGGGGGAGTGGGATTTATTGGGCACCTCTTCCAAAGAGCCGGTGCAGGCATGATGGGCCTTCTGTGCTGTATTATTGTACGATTCTATTCTAGAAGTGATTTTGCATCAAGCTACAGAGTATCTGATGAAAATCAAGCAGTCTGTTATTCATCTGGTAAAGTTAACCATAAAAGTCTTCAAATCTAATTTCATTTCCTCAGATTGATAAGTCAGCATTTTGGTGATGAATTTGGCTATAAAAGACCAGCTTTAATGTTTAATGTTTAAACTGGACCACTTATTATTTTCAGTGGACAGGAACCAATGTGAGTAATATTAATTTTAGAGATTCTTATTTAACTGAGCAATCTAAGGAACTGACCTCCAAAAAAACAGAATATGAGATCAAACAGTTTACAGTTTCAATGGGGGTTGGCGTTTAAACAGACTGTGTTTCCTCACATAACAACTAAAGGTGGGATGACTTTGTGTGAAATGCTCTGATACACTCTGCACAATAAGATGCTATATCAAATATAAACATGACCATTTGTGCTTGATTTTTATAATAACAATAATAATAATCCTTGCATTTGATATTGTGCCTTATCACGTGGAGTCCTGTAGCTCAGTGGTTAGAGCACTCGCTTTGCAAGCAAGAGACCTGAGTTCAATTCCAGGCAGGGCGAAACCTTGGGCAAGTTTCCTTACTCCACACAGAGCCTAATAATAATCCCTCCAATACAAAACAATAATAAATTGGTCATTTTCAATCTACGACTGTTTGTGGGACATTGCTGTGCGCAATTGGCTGCCGCGTTTGCCCACAAATATACAGTCAATTCACTTTACAGTGTGTTCTGTGAAACGCTTTGGGACATCCTCTCGACGTGAAAAGCGCTATATCAAATGCAAGGATTATTATAATTATTATTATTATTATCATGTTGTTGAGGTGTCTCACAGAATATATTGCAAAGTGGATTGACAGTAACTTGTGTGTGATTAAAATAATTAAAATTAAAGCTTAAACTATGTATTCAATGTACTTCTGTGGGAATGTAAAAAGACTAAAATACTTAAAGTACAAACTATGATAAGATTAAAGTTGTTTTTTAAGCAACAATGTAGATAAATTAGAGCAGAACCAGTGTTCTTGTCCTGTCCTGACTGCAAATGTATAATTAAACTTGTGATGACTGAATATTGCTTGTCAATCAACAGCAAGAATTGTTTTGAGACATGAGGTGATCGCAAATAATCATGTATATAAACTGATGGGACAGCCCCATTGGTAGAGGGAGAATACTGACTCTTCTGAGAGACGTGCTATTGTATTGCCTCTCGCTTGTCCTCTCCTTGCTGTAAGTGTTAAATTAACTATATTTCTGAGCTAACTCTGTTTGTGAGTGTTCGTTTAATCTTAGCTATAGCAACTACTTCCTGGGTTCGACACCTCCCCATAGTTTGACTCTCTGTCCCTTACTGTCCCAACATTTTAGATAAGGAAGAAGAAAAATTAAATGCCATTAAAACAATCCTAAGAAGCAGTCTAATGGGGATATCATTAATACTTAGCTCAACAGCAGTTACCTGAACTTCAGCACTGTAGAGTGACAACTCTAATAGTACCATACAAGGAGCTATCAGCAGAACAGTTAAAAAAAGAAAATAATCCTTGCATTTAATATCATACCTTTTATGTCAGGTCACAGGATTTATTTACTGTCTAGCAACAACAAGTTGTAATTATATAGCACCTTCATGTTGGGAGGATGTCCCAACGTGCTAGACAGTCGAGGGTTTGAACCCGAGTTGGGGGTTGGAGTCGGGAAGGCTGGGGCCAAGGAGAGTGGGATGGGGTTGGGAGATGACTGAAAGCAATGTCAAAGAGAAAAGTTGGATCTTGAAGGCGATGAGGGAGGGAGGAGGCAAAGAGTCTTTAGAATGGAGTTCCAGAGAACCCAACTGAAAACCCAACTGTTGATGGTGACGTGGGCAGGGTGGGGTACATGAAGCATGCCAATGTTGGACAATTGGACGGAGTGGGTGTGTTGTTTTAGAATTAGGATTTAGAAAGTTTGCAGAGATAAGGTCAGGCAAGACCTTGAAATTATTTAAAAGTGAGGACAAGATCCTTGAACTCCATCCTCTGGAGAATGGGAAACCAGGTTAGGATAGGGTGATAGGCTCACAGAGCTTAGTGAGGGATAGGACATTGGCTGCAGAGTTCTGTATGGTCTGTAGCTTGTGGAGGGAAGAGGTAAAGTGTAAATGACTGCATTTTGTAGGCAAATGCAGTTGTGTCCCACAAAGGGCCATGAAGTGACTTATCGAAGATGACCCAAATGTTTGAAAATGAATGGATGTAAACACACTGAACAACTTACTGGTCAAAGAGCACATTGTACTGAGGGCAGAATCCTATATCCTTTCGTATGGAATCTATTGCCGTTCTAATGTCACTGCCATAAATGAAAGCAGTTCCAGATGATGGAGGGAACAGTCCTGTTAATATAGACCTGCAAAGACAAATGTCAAAAACAGTTATTTATCTAGAAAGAAATTAAAATAAAATAGTAAGTTATCGTTTATAAAATCTCCCCAAATTAATTGTTTTATTTGCAGTAATTTTTTTATAAAAGGCAATTGTGCATATGAGTTGAATAAACACAACACAAAATCTTGATTACATAGCTGATTGAATTTGGAGATAATTGTAAGAGGATCAAGTTCAAGAAGGGAGTCTGAATTCCATTTATTTTGAACAAGTACAAAAAAGAATGAGTGAAATTTGTATTGTTTTGAAAATAAAACACCATCCCAAAACCAATGTCTGGTATTGTCTTTTATTAGTGTGGTTCTGTGTTTTAACACACAACCAGAAGGAAATATTCTGCTTATTTATGTGTCTTTCACTAGCTCCAAACATGGATATCACAGTTGAGAGTAATAACATCTCATGATTTACAAACAAAATTGGCCACAGAGCTTCAATATCAATGGGGCCCAAAATCCAGAAAAGCATTTGTTCCAATATAATAATAATCCTTGCATTCGATATAGCGCCTTATTATGTATTCGAGCGCTTCACAGACAATGCTCTCACACATCTTGTGCTGAGTTTTTCGGTTCACCAAGCAACTGTAAGGATTTTTTGTCAGATGTCTAATGACCAACTTGTGGCTCTCTTCTTATGGGGAGGTGAAACGGGTCTTGTTGGGGATGAGCTGGCTCCATGTGATTTGGTTGACAATGGAATGTCAGAACCAAGTCTATCCACTGTGGTGATCTTGATCTTCTCTGGATCTTGGTACTCCAAAGCATCAACCTGGCTCATAGCTGGATTTATAATAAATAATCCTTGGATGTGATATAGCGCCATATCATGTCTTTGGAACGTCTCAAAGCGCTTCACAGAATATACTTTAAAGTGAATTTATTGTATATTTTGTGGGCGAAACGCGGCAGCCAATTGCACACAGCAGTGTCCCACAAACAATCAAGGATTGAGTGACCAATTTTTTTAAAAAGGAATTATTAGACTTTGGAGGGGCAAATAAGATACAAGAGCAGGGATTCTACCCACTTGGATCCTGCAATCCCCAATGGGTCATGTGATTGTTGTTTGGCAAGCAGTGGAGAAACTTGTCAGTGTTCGCAATGGCAAACTATGCAGTATTGAACTTCAGCTCTTGCCAACAACCTGCACCTAATAAGTGAGCAGGGTATATACTACCAGAGAGAGATTCAAATGCTATTTTGAATGTTGATGCTAACAGCAGCTATGCATTTCTACCGTTATGAAGTACTCCAAAGGCAAACATATTACAATGAGAAATATTTAAACTCTGAGCAATTAGGAAGAACTTCTAGTTATTTTAGGTATTGTGTAGTTTATTTTAATCTGAATTATGGAGGAGAGAGCAAAAGTGGTGAAAAACTGCCATCAAACATTTAATTGCAGCTTTCACATTAGTTGTGTCTATTCAATACACTATTTAAATTTTAAAAATATTGATTCCAGTCTATGGTCAAGTGTCAGGATCAGAAGATTTAAAAATCTAAAAAAGTGGAATCGCTTTACATTTATATAGTAGTACCTTTCATGTTGAGAGGACATAAAGTTCAAGATCCTTGTCCTCACATATAAAACCATCCAGGGTCCTGCTCCTCCCTCCCTCTGCGACCTATTAAAACTTCATCAACCTATCTGCTCCCTCTGCTCTGCAGGCACTAGCCTGCTCAATGTCCCAGTAGATCTATTCCCCCACTCTGCCTGCTCCACTATCGGCAGTAGGGCCTTCAGCCTTTCTGCCCCCACCCTCTGGAACTCCATCCTGGAGTCCCTCTTCCTCGCCTCTTCCCTTGCCTCCTTCAAGGCCTATCTCAAGATTTCATTTTTGGCTGTCCCTTTGTTCATCTTTCCTCCACCACCCCATTTGCCCTCCACCCCTCTCTGATCCCAATTCACAGCTCAGATGCAAACTCCTCATTCCAGCCCTTTTGAACGTCCTTCCGATGTGAAAGGCACTATATAAATGCAGTCTGTTGTTGAATATTAAGATGTCACTTTAGGTCAGTTTGACAATTTAAAAACTGGTAGAATATCAATACTCAATATGTATCAGAGGATCTTGCAGTCAATGTCAAGACTGCAACAATTTCAAATCAAAATGTGTACTATAATTGAACTTCAACTTGTTCCTTTCTCTGTTACATTAAATTTTAAGTCAATAACACTCAGTCAACTGTCTACTCACACAGATCCATTCTTTGATGGCAACGAAGATTCTTTACAAAGAGTGTTCTGGAATTTACAATAAAAGACTGAAAGAGATTGCAAAGCTTACATTGTGGTCGTTTTTCCAGCTCCATTATGTCCAAGGAAAGATGTAATCTGTCCTTCATAGAAGTTTACACTAAGACCATCCACTGCAATCTTTTTGCCAGTTTTGTATATTTTCACAAGGTTCTGAATAGATATGCCTAATTTCAGGTTGTGTGGTTGTGGCTCAATGAAAACATTATCTGCAATAATATAAATTTACGATTAGGATCAAGTCTCAAATATCAACACTGAACAAAATAATTTACAATTTTCTGTATTGGATCACAAATATATTGCAAAGGCAAAATATTGCAGATGTTGGAAATCTGAAATAGAAACAGAACTTGCTGGGAACACTCAGCAGGTCAGGCAGCATCTATGGAGAGAGGAAAATGAGTTAATGTTTCAGGTCAATAACCTTTTGTGAGAACATCTGACGTAAGGTTATCGACCTGAAATGTTAACTAATTTTCCTCTCTCCATAGATGCTTCCTGACTTGCTGCGTGTTCCCAGCAACTTCCACAAATATATTGAATTCCTAGTTACTTTGAACCACTTTGAATATGGGTTAAATAGCTGAAAATCTACCTTCATCTTGCTTCCCCTGGAAAGTAAGTTCCTCTTTGTTTTGAGACGATGATCCACACCAGTACGATTTTGTAACAAGGAAGTACCAAGGTTTTGGAATACCATATTGACCTGCCAAGTCAAAACATTCATCCACATTGTAACTGTTTACTAGCAAACACTACTGTATGCAAAATTATCTTGTCAACAGTTCGTTAGCTAGGTATCAGAGTCCTGATAATACTCAGCTTAGTCGTTAGAACACTCGCCTCGCAAGCGAGAGCACCTGGGTTCGATTCCCGGCAGTGCAAAATGTTGAGCAAGTTTCCTTACTCCACACATCTGTATTAAACTGTAAATCACACCTGGAAAAACAGCCTCAATGTACAAAACGAGCAACCAGTAAATGAAAGCATCAAGCAACATCATTAACATGGAAACCAGGAAACTGAATCGGTTGCCTTCTTGAGCACTAATATTAATATTGCTCCACTGGATCCCAATTCCTTGCACTTCGTAGAAAGAAAAATTTTCACAGCCGAAACTGAAAGCCACAGTTGACAATAGACTCTGATGAAAAACAAAAATAAGACTTGTTTTACAATTACAGTTTAAGATATCATGTAATATTTCCTACAGCCTATTGTTGATTGATTCTCCTTGACCTTATACATAAGCTTTTACTATATTTAGCTATTCGGTTCATATAATGTTACAGAACTTATTTTGCACCAGTTTTTTGGTTCTATGGTATGCTTTCAGTTTTATTCCTAATTTTACCATTGTGACTCTTATTCTGTACTGATCATTTCCTATTTCCCTCACGTTTCCTTTAATATTTCAAAGACTTCCTTCAGATTCTTTCTAAAGTTCTTCAGTTCAAACCTATTTAATTCAATTTACCCAGCTTCTCATCACAAAACACAGTCACTACGCTTCACAGTACTGTATATCTTGTGAAACGCGTAGGCATGTCCTCTCGATGTGAATGGTGCAATAACAATTGTAAGGATTATTATTATAGCATTTAATGTTCGGTTGATGAATAGATTTTAAAAGAATATGTGTAAGAAACAAGTAATTGGTTAGAAATAAAGTTGAGGCTTGTAAGGATAAGCACAGATAAATTGATTGCTGTATGGAACATCAGAGTGAAGGAGTGAAACTAGTCTGCAATAGATGGGCAGTGCAACACATTTAGAATATGTAGACCAAATTAAGGTCATTGTACAGGTCAGGTTAGTCCCATTCATCTTTTTCTAGGTGGAAAATTGTTGCATTTATGTGTAAAATAAGAAATGTAATAATAATAATTCTTGCATTTGATATAGGCCCTATCAATTCTTCAAGGCGCTTCACAGAATATACTGTAAAGTTAATTAACTATATATTTTGTGGACTAATCGTGACAGCCAATTGCGCACAGCAGTGTCATACTAACATTAGTGGATTGAGATACAAAATGAAAACAGCTTCCAAATTAGGGATGGGCTTTATCGAAAATCCTGCCTCATCTTAAATCTTTAAGCCAAAACACTAGGTAGGATTTCAGGGAACATAGTTTGCTTGGGTCACTGTGAAGCAATCGTATGAATCAATCCCATTGGAAAATTCCACACATCAGATCTCATTGTCCAGTATTGTATTAACTATAACAATACCAGTATTGTAAACTAAATACGGTACTTTCATGAATTATTTCAGCTCTTAGAGAGGTCTGGCTAGGAAGTAAAATTGATATTTAAGTGCCCCATGCATTGATATATATTTTGCTCTGAAGTCTTGAATCAAACGATTCAAAGTAAAAATCAAAATCAAAACCCTCTTTCCTTTAGTGGGATGTAAGTTTACAGTCATCTCATAAGGTGAAAGATGGCAATCCTTGAGAAAAGTTAGCTCAATTTTGTGTGAATAAAGCACTCTGAATGCTCATGTATGATGTGGGTCAGTAGCCAACAATGATAACTCCATCTCAAAGTGAAATCTTACTATCTCTCTGTGAAGAGTGACTTTAAATATAACAAATTACATTCCCATTATCATCTGTATTCAAACTTATACACTTCATCTTAAAAGAACATCAATTACCTCTTCAGTTATTTTCAGTGGGTGGACAGGACACAAATTAAACAATGGATCATTTAAGGATTAACTATCACTAAAAACAGATTTCGAAAACGCGCATTACAACTCATTTATTAATCTTTACGCATCTCCAAAAAGTTATTAGGTAACAGATTTATACATTAAAATAATATGGATATCATTGTAAAATATACTTACAATGGAAATCTTTATTGGAAATGTGAGATAGTCCTGCCAGGCAAAGCAAAGGACATATGGTAGGTACAGCAAAAAATAGAGGATCGCTCCACAGGCTGCAGCTAAGTTGGCTCTTGAGAAGAACGTACTGATGAGAAAGCATTCCATGATGGTTGCCACACAATATATGAATAGAAAGATGAACAGGATCAGTGGATCACTATAGCGGAGGATATTCCCATACTGTAAATAAAAAAATTCAAAGTGAATGGCAAAAATGGTAGGCATCTATAATTCAACTTCAATACAGATGAGCGCTGTGAGGAGGAGACCACATTTCAAATACTTAAAAAAATAATCATACAGCACCCCGTCACCTTAATGATCACACTGTGTACATAGATATTGATCCCAGATTGATTGAGCCCTGAAGAAATATGAACAAGATTTTTTTTAAATGAATGGGAGGAGCTGGTTTTGAACAGTGAGTTGCTGAATGCTACGTATTCAGAACATAAACGTCACCAAAGGGACTTCTATTTCATGATTGACTTAGTATAATGAGGGTCAACTCAACATTTGAACTACCTTAGACAATGTGAATATAGTTGGTGAATAAAACAGATCTGTAGTATTTGTAACCACAACCTTCTGACCCAGAGATGACCTTGCTACCAACTGAGCTAGTCTGATACATATTTATTCTAACCTGACACACATTTAATCACCTTTATTCTATTTATGCAACATTACAGTCCACATAGAATTTGGTAAATTGTTAAATTGCGCCTTAGCTTTGAAACCGTTTTTCTTGTTTTTCTTTAAAAAGGCTGCTGCTCTCTTCAGTATTTTCCTAAAATCCTAGAGGTTTACCACAGTATTTGCCCCATCCGGTATGTTTTAATTATCTAGACATGTTTAGCTGGATACCTGATCTGCACAGTATTGTAGAGGCAGCAGGTGGTAGCAGGGATAAGATCATCTTCTATCATTATTGATCTCTGGATACAGCAGCCGAAAAAAAGAATAAGGGAAATAATAATAATAATAATCCTTGCATTTGATATAGCGCTTTTCACGTCGGGAGGACGTCCCAAAGCGCTTCACAGAACACACTGTAAAGTGAATTGACTGTATATTTGTGGGCGAACGCGGCAGCCAATTGCGCACAGCAATGTCCCACAAACAGTCGTAGATTGAAAATGACCAATTTATTATTGTTTTGGTTTTGGAGGGGAAAGTCATGTAATGAGATAATCCCTTCCCTGTGAATCAGCAATGTGTTCACTATCACTAACACTCAGTGGATAATTAATTGGAAAGGCACTGGTAAGCACACACACATTATTTTCTCCAAGTAATTAATTATTACTGGTATTGGGAACGTCTTCTATTAATACTGACCACAAACTGCACTGTAGGCATAAAACAGTTTATAGATGCTTAACAAAGGTAATAAAATGAATAATAGAAAAAGTGCTCTTTTGATACATGTGCTATAATCTTTGCTGAGAATGTGGCTACTCAAGACACAAATATCTCTTTAGATCAGATCAGTGCTGGTCCTCTATCTACTTCAAACACTCTGAGATGCTACCCTGCATGGAGGGTGCTATACAAGTGCAAGTTATTGTTGTTGGAGGGTCATTTAAATTACAAGGCATTTCTGCCCATGTCAGTTTGCTCACTTTGAAAACAGTGCATTATATTTTGTCAGCTTTGGGATAACTGAGAAGTAACAATAGCGGACAATATTATGCACTGTCGTGTTTACAGTTAGTGACAAGCTCCAGCGTTTCCTAGTTTTAGATTTATAACTGATCAGATAATGTGTTAAATTTTTCTCTTTAACACTCATATCCTACTTTTCCATTTTCTACATTATGTTTAAGTGAAGGTAGATTCACAAATTAGTGCCACGTTTTGTTTTATGGCTTCCCACCTATGGCGTCCCACGCTTAACTGATGCTGAATTATTGGTTAGATAAATAGGAATCATCTTGCATTCTGCTGGGGTCTGGACTGGGATTTCAAGGTTCAACAATATTCAAGGTTTCCAAGATGAGAAAGTAATATTCTAAAAAGTGAATCAACAATAAATGTTATGCAATAAAACTTGTACAAGTCTTATCTTTATGGATCACTTTCAAGCGCTTTGGGACGTCCTCTCGACGTGAAAAGCGCTATATCAAATGCAAGGATTATTATTATTATCACACAATCGTCTAAGTCATGCACCTGAGTCCCATTCAGTTTCCTATTAAAACTACCTATATTTCTTTGCACACGTCGTACTTATCATCTCTTAACTTGTAAAGCAGCAATATCATTGTTGTCTATGTTTGCGTAGTGCTGAGGGCAAAGTAATAAAGGATTGAAGCCTATCTTGGTGAATATAGCTATGCGCAATTGGCTGCCAAGTTTTGCCCACAAAATACACAGTCACTACACTTTACATTATATGCAGCAAAGCGCTTTGAAGCGTCTTGAAGACGTGTTAAGGTGCTATATCAATTACAAGGGTTATTATTGTTAATATATTCAATACTGGCCATCACTCTGCAGATTTCATCAACCAACGTCTTACATTTTATACATCCGTATATCAAGAAAAGGTACAGAGTTGTTGTACATTATTGACCAGCTTTAGGGTTTAGTAAAATATAAATATATCAATTAGCAATGTTCATTAATTTCTTCAAATCAATCCAAAAGTCCCCCTTCCAAAAAGAAATGAACTAGATTTATGATTGATAGAAGTTACAATTGAATGCTGTGTGATTTACTGAGTCATTCTGGAGGCTAATATTGCTTCCCTTGATTAAAAATTGAAACCAGAGGCTTTATACCAGCAACTGCCCACTCAGGGAGTAGATTGCTCACAATAGATTGAGAGATGGCTTCAATATTTCCTCATCAAGTTGGCACCATTATTTTATATAATGAATCTAATCTCATAGTGCACATGTCCTCAGAATCCCTGGAAATAAGACCATCAGAAGCAAGTATTTGATACTTGTCTGTAGGTTTGAATGAGGAAGGGAAGGGCTTAAGAGGATAGAGTGGAACAAGTTTGGAGAAATCCTAGAATCATAGAATCATACAGCACAAAAAGAGCCATTCGGCCCATCGCGTCTGCGCCAGCATCTAAAAGAGCAATCCAACTCAATCCCACTGGCCCGCTTTCTCTCTATAGCCCTGCAATCCTGTCCTCCCCAAATACCCATCGACTTCTCTCTTAAAAGTTGTTATTGAATCGGCTTCCACTACCCTTTCAGGTAATGCATTTCAGATCCCAACAACTTGCTGGGTAAAATTTTTTTTACCCACCTCCCCTCTGTTTCTTTTAACAACTATCTTAAATCGGTGTCCTCGGGTTACTGACCCACATGTCAGTGGAAACAGTTTTTCCTGGTTCAACCTATCAAATCCTCTCATGATCCTGAAAACCTCTATTAAATCCCCTCTTAATCTTCTCTGCTGTAGGGAGAACAATCCTGGTTTCACCAACCTCTCCTCATAACTAAGTTCCTTCATCCCTGGTACCATCCTGGTAAACCTCCTTTGCACCCTCTCCAATGCCCTAACATCTTTCCTAATGGAGTCCTGCAGCTCAGTGGTTAGAGCACTCGCTTTGCAAGCGAGAGACCTGAGTTCAATTCCAGGCAGAGGGCGAAACCTTGGGCAAGTTTCCTTACTCCACACGCCTAATAATAATCCCTCCAAAACCAAAAACAATAATAAATTGGTCATTTTCAATCTACGACTGTTTGTGGGACATTGCTGTGCGCAATTGGCTGCCGCGTTCGCCCACAAATATACAGTCAATTCACTTTACAGTGTGTTCTGTGAAGCGCTTTGGGACGTCCTCCCGACGTGAAAAGCGCTATATCAAATGCAAGGATTATTATTATTATATAATGTGCGGTGCCCAGAACTGAACGCAGTACTCCAACTGAGGCCTAACCAGCATTTTATAAATATTCAACATAACCTCCTGCCTTGTATTCTATGCCCCTATTTATAAAACCTAGTATCCCGTATGCTTTTTTAACAGCTTTATCTACCTGTCCTGCCACCTTCAGAGATTTGCTTATGTGGCCCCCAGGTCTCTCTGTTCCTTCACCCCCTTTAAGATTGTACCATCAGCTTATACTGCCTCTCCTCATTCTTCCTACCAAAATGCAACACTTTGCATTTCTCCACATTAAACCTCATCTGCCACGTTTCTGCCCATTTTACCAATCTGTCTAAGTCCTCTTGGAGTCTGGTGTTATCCTCCTCACCATTAACTACTTTTCCTAGCTTAGTATCATCCGCAAATTTAGAAATTGTGCTCCCTATATCCAAGTCCAGATCATTAATATAGATCAGAAAGAGCAGTGATCCCAATACCGACCCCTGAGGGACACCACTACATACCTCCCTCCAGTCAGGAAAGCAACTGTTTACTACCACTCTCTGCTTTCTGTCTCCTAGCCAGTTCTGGATGTATGTTGCCACAGTCCCTTTAATACCATGGGCTTCTATTTTGTTTATAAGTTTCTTATGTGGCACTATATCAAATGCCTTTTGAAAATCTAGATAAACTATGTCTCGAATTCAAGATCCTCATCCTCACCTACAAGGCCATTTGCGGCCTTGCTCCCTCCTACCTCTCCGACCTACTATCCCCCTACCTACCTGCCCGTACCCTCCGTTCCTCTGCTCCACATCCCCCGCCCCAACCGCCCTACCATCGGTGGCCGGGCCTTCAGCCTCTCAGCCCCGAGGCTCTGGAACTCTATCCCCCAGTGCCTTCGCCTTGCCTCCTCCCTTCAAGGCCGGTCTCAAGACCTTTCTCTTTGACGGTGCCTTCAACTCCCTTATCGACTCTCTACCCCCTCCTCGCTCCTTCCCTTCCCTCCCCTCACCCTGACCATTTCCCCCTTGCTCGGGTCCTGACCCAACTGCCTTGGGACGTCCTCCCGATGTGAAAGGCGCTCAATAAATGGAATCTTGTTGTTGTTGTTGTCTACTGCACTACTTCTCAGTCATTTCATCAAAAAATGATATTGGGTTTGTCAGACACGATCTGCCTTTAACAAATCTGTGTTGACTGTCCTTTATTAAGCCATATGTTTCTAAGTGAGAATTTATATGGTCGCGGATTATAATCTCCAGAAGTCTCCCTACTACTGATGTGAGGCTGATTGGCCTGTAGCTCTCAGGTTTATCCTTCTGCCCCTTTTTGTACAGGGGAGTTACATTTGCAATCTTCCAGTCCTCTGGCACCACTCGTGTCCAAAGAGGATTGAAAGATTGTGGCCCTATTTCCACCCTTGCTTCCCTCAGTAACCTAGGATGCATCCCGTCCAGACCAGGTGATTTATCTATGTTGAGCACCGACAGCCTTTTTAGTACCTCCACTCTGTTGATTTTTATCATATCCAATTTCTGTTCACACGCCTGCAATATTGTGGCATTGGTTGCATCGTCTTCTTTTGTGAAGACAGTTGCAAAGTACTTATTTAGTACATCAGCCATACCCTCTGCCTCCACAAGAAGATTTCCACTTGGGTCCCTAATTCGACCCACCCTACCTTTGACTAACCTTTTACTCTTGATATGCTTATAAAATATCTTAGGGTTCCCTTTTATGTTTCCTGCTAATCTTTTCTTGTATAATCTCTATGCCCTTCTTATTTCCCTTTTCACTTCTCCTCTGTACTTCCTATATTCTATTTGATTATCCTGTGTGTTTTGGACCTGACATTTGCCATAAGTCTCCTTTTTCTGTTTTATTTTAATTCCAATTTCCTTAGTCATTCAGGGAGGTTTGACTATCTTACCTTTCCCCTCTGTGGGAATGTATTTGTTCTGTCCCCAAACTATCTCCTTCATGAAGGCTTCCCATTGTTAATTTGCTGTCTTACCTGTCAATCTCTCTTTCCAATCTATCTTGGCCAGGTCCCTTTTTAGCTCACTGAAATTAGCCCGATTCCAGTTGAGGGTCTTTAGCTTTGATTGATTGTTGTCCTTCTCCATAACTCTTCTAAACTTAATGATATTATGATCACTGTTATCCAGATGCTCTCCTTCTGAAACCTACTCCATTTGCCCCACTTCATTTCCCAGAACTAAATCCAGCACTGCTTCCATCTTCGTTAGGCTGGAAACATGTTGATCCAGAAAGTTCTCCTGCACACATTTCAGGAATTCCTCCCCTTCCTTGCCCTTTACACCGTGTGTTTCCCAGTCTATGTTAGAATAATTGAAATCACCCATTATCACTATTCTATTGGTTTTGCAAATATGAGAAGATCAGAGAGATAAGGAGGTGCTAGGGCAGTGGTGGCATAAAATACAATGACTGTACTGCATTTATCAGCTTGCACTGCTTTAAGGCACAAGAAGTTTCTTTAATGATAGATGAAGACCTAAAACCCATACATATATTGCACACACACAGATGGGTTCATTAGCTCACACTGTTCTACAATCACATGTGAACCAGGGAAACAAAATAACAATCATTAGGACTGCAATTCAAGCAAGCTATGACGATTCATTTTTCCATGGTTATTGCCTTCTTTTTGGCAATGTCACAGAAATCGCATAAATTTTACAAAGGCAAGCATCCCCTGAGTCCTCCTGTCGAATGGAAATGTGATTAAGCCTTGTTTGTAGATACAAATACATGAGACAACGTTCATAAATGTAAACTAATCAGAGAATTGGGTTCACACCATAATTGCATATATGATTCATTACACATCCCCTGTCTCGTGAAATTTCAAAAATTCCACTTGTAATGGGTTTACACAGAGGTACAGATATGTGTTAATATAAATTCAGGTTTTGAAGCGGATGAGTGGTTTGACTTATGAGACTAGATGCAATCATCAGTGGTTGGTTAATACATGGTTTTACCATGAAAATTAGGGTTAATGATGCAATATAATAATATAATAATCCTTGCATTTGATGTAGAGCCTTAACATGCCTCAAAGCGCTTCACAGAAATGTAAAACTGTAATGATTTTAGTTTTTAAAATTGCTATTTAGTGTCAAATTAAGTAACATCATTATTATAATTATTATTAATAATAAATTGTACTCTTAATCTTCATCATACTTTCCACTGCACAATTGAAGTGCATTATATATACTGGGAAACTATAGACGGGTTTTTCTGCATTTAGAATATTTAGGAAGGATATCAGGGCCACTGGGTGCAGAAGAAATTATACCAGGGATGAGTGGTTTGACTTATGAGAATGGGGTAAATGAGCTTACTTTTGCTGGAACAGAGAGGATTGAGAGGAAACCTAATAGGGGTTTCGTAGAGTCATTAAGGATAAATTTCCACTGGTCAGTGTGTCAGTGACTAGAAGGCATTCTCATTTAAACTAATTACCAAAGGAGAGAGGGATCAGGAGTGGTGTTTTTGTTTACGAAGTGGAAAGCTCTGCTAGAAATGGCGCACATATTAGCTGTTGAGAATAATAATAATAAATTAATTAACCATCTAAAAAGGCGTAATTTGAAGCAAAACAGAGAAAAGGCAGGTAAATGAGAGTGCTCTTTTAAAGAACCAAGATAGACATGATAGGCTGAATGGTGTTCTGTGCTGTACATTTCTATGGTTCAAACAATAGTAACTTATTGACTCATTGTTACATACTATAGCTTGGAGGAAACTGAGTCCACTATAATAGTTTTCATCTGTCATGACTAGGCTATGTTAACTCAACACACATCACAGATTAAACCTCGAATCTTCCTGGCATAAAAGACTCTGAACTACACACTGTTTGCGCACCGGCTTGGATAAAGGAACTCTGACTTTTAAAAAGATTGTGCATGATAAATTTGCCCCCAAAATATACATTCAATTCACTTTACAGTATATTCTGTGAAGTGCTTTGAGACATCTCGAAGACGTAATGAGGTGATATATCAAATGCAAGGATTATATTATACATTATTATATCATATTGTCAAGACAGAGTTATGCTATTTTTCAAACAGGTTTGCAGTCCTTTTAATGGCATACTGGTCACAGCAAACATAGCATATTAGCTAATGAATTCACCTTTGCAAACATTTATTGTGAGGGACTTAAATAAAATATCCTATCTTATGATGAAACTAAAAATACATAACATCTGACAGTAAATATTTGCATATATCCAAAAAATGATTCAATGAGGATTTTAGCAAGATGACATTTGTAACTGCTTCTTTTTTTCCCCAGAAGTATCAGAAATTGACTAACAAACTCTGACAGCAAATAGACAAGCAATGAGATTGTGTATTGCAGGTCTGGAATTATACACCAGATGAGCTATTTATATCTGACAAACATTAATCTCAAGTGTGAAACATGTCTGAATTCATGATCTGCTGTTTGCACTTAATGCTTCCTTGAGGAAGAACATGACACAAGCACAATTCATTTAATCAACATTATTCATCATTATGTTTTCTTCCTTCTAAGTCACAAAGAGCATATGGCAAACATTTAAATATTTATAAATGAGTAACAGATTTTACATATTAGTATTTTAATTATTGGATGGTGATTTTCTCATCATGAGAATGATTTTCATACTGATTTTCTTGACCATACGATTTTATTATGATTGAAATTCTTTATTCAACTTACCTTTAGAAGCACAGAGAGGAACGCTGATGATATAGTTAAGATGACTATATTGTCCATGAACCATGCAAACCAGAGCACACCATTTCTCAGACCCATTGTATTCAACATCACCTTCAGACACTTTTCTTTTTCGTATACAATCCCTTTGATGATCATGGCGACCGAAAATATAAAAGCCAGTATCAGGAACATGGGAAGTATGCTCCCAACGTTCTGTGTGAATCTGTTATGAGATGTAACATTGTAAGAAGAATGCATTCAACAACAATAATGTACTGAAATAGCATTTTTCGTGTCAGGAGTACGTCAGTTCAAAGCGCTCTGACTGAGAGCCCAAATTGGAAGCGGAGCTGAGGAGGCCGGAGAAATCAAAAAAAATTAAATCTACAAAAATAATACTTCAATCAGATCAGAAGATTGAATACTTTTAGAATATTGTCATGAAATTAGCACCTATGGTTGTTGAAACAGTCATTCAAACAAAACTCAAATATTACATAGTTTCTACAACTTTACAAACCACAGTATCAAAAGCAACCCAACCCAAGCTATTGCATAGTATTGCATACAGCCATCTATAGCACTTAATTACAAGTTGTTCTTCAAAATTATTTCTGTATGTATGCCCATCCTTTTAAAAATATTACCGGCTTAGATTCCACTGTTATAAGCAGAATATGAAACAGGGCATATATCACAACATTTCAAAATTATATGGGGTTATCTGGGCATAATGTATTTGTAATTCTTCTTGATCAGATATGTTCTATTCATTGAGATTATATATTGTTCCTGCCATTCAGAAAGAGTGACAACTGGTTATGAAGGGCAGAGGCATTGCAAAGAACATTATCAAAATTAATAGATCAGCAAGTCTGCTGTACTTTTGGGGCAGAGGATGGAAGAAATAGGATTTCAAGTTAATTTAATTTTGGCTGATACATCTGAAAATACAACTGATTCTGTTCAGGCTTCTCCACTGTTGTACATTACTCAATGCAATTTTGTCTGAATGCATCTGCAATTGCTATGTATTTGTGCATTCTCTTCTTTTTGGTCAGCCAGATGTCTGAAGCATGCGGAAAACCATCAATATGCTCAAACCAGATATATGTATACATATTACACATGGAAATTTTCCTGTGTCTGGAATGGAATTCACATTTCCTGGAGGAATGCAGCCTACTTACCTAATTCCAGAGAATATTAGGCACAGTTAATATTAGACAAGGTTAGGCAATGTTGGGATACTGCTGGAGTTTAACCAGCTAAAAATCCATAGCTCGACCTTTGAAAACACAGTCTGGCTAGCTTCCTGCTGCTTGTACAAGTTGGATCACCGTGCTTGTTAATGCTTTGTTTTATAGGGTTAATAGGAGCTGAGTGGGAAGAATCACTGCTCAGAATGATTGGCCTGCCCCTCCAAATCCTGCCAATGAACCAGCTGGCTAAATTGTATTCTCTACATTGAACAAATGTGATTATCAAATTGATAGCCGTGTTTTGCCCACAAGTATACAGTCAATTCACTTTACTGCATATTCTGTGAAGCGCTTTGAGACACCTTGAAGACGTGAAAAACGCTATATCAAATGCAAGGATTATTATTATATTACTATTTATCTAAAACAGACCTACGCTCTATTGGTGTTTAATTCAAGTTACTATGTGGAGTCCTGTAGCTCAGTGGTTGAGCACTCGCTTTGCAAGCTAGAGACCTGAGTTCAATTCCAGGCAGGGCGAAACCTTGGGCAAGTTTCCTTACTCCACACGCCTAATAATAATCCCTCCAAAACCAAAAACAATAATAAATTGGTCATTTTCAATCCACGACTGTTTGTGGGACATTGCTGTGCGCAATTGGCTGCCGCGTTCGCCCACAAATATACAGTCAATTCACTTTACAGTGTGTTCTGTGAAGCGCTTTGGGACGTCCTCCCGACGTGAAAAGCGCTATATCAAATGCAAGGATTATTATTATTATTATTATTATTATTGAGCTCTGCTGAATTAATTGAAATCTGTCCTTTGGGCAAATCTAAACAAAGGGTATCCTGCATATTAATCAACAGGCAGAGCGATACGTGCATACACACTAATCAGCATGGTTTGCAAAGAGCATAGGATGATTCAATTGTATTGTAAGACTTGTCTGATACTCAAGTCATTGTATCACTGCATGACTTTCTGGACTAGGAACCCGGTTATTAGTCGATTGGTGGATCACTTTTCCGATGAGGCGCTATCCTTAAATGCAAGGATTATATCAAATGCACGGACTAAATTGCTTCTTGCTGATAGCATACATGAGATCTGAATCTCATGATTTGGCCAGGAAAGTAATCAAAAAACAAACAAGTACTCAACAGCTGTTCTGAGTGGAATTTAAATGAAAAGCTGAATAACTGGGAGATATGAACTTTGTGTGTGTTTGATTTTTAACAAGTCTCAAGATGCTACTTTTTCTGCACTATCCTCAACAATATCACACTCGATTTTAAGATTATATTTCACATAGAAACATGTAAATAATCACATTAAATGTCCTAAAGGAAAACTTTAATAATAGTCGCAAATGCTTTTGATATACATCACTAAATTTTATTTATCACTGCTGTTGTTAAACAACAACAACAAAATTACATTCGTACAGTGTCTTTCATGTCGGGAGGATAATAATAATAATAATAATAATCCTTGCATTTGATAGAGCGCTTTTTACATCTTCGACATCTCAAAACGCTTCACAGAATAGACTGTAAAGTGAATTGACCCTATATTTGTGGGCGAAACCTGTGGGATGTCCCAAGATGCTGGACAATCAGTGTTTTAGACCTGAGATGGTGGTCAGGATTGTGGAGCGTGATCAAAAGCACGGTTGAAGAGGAGGGTCTTGAGATGGGTCTTGAAGAGACAAGGGAGGGGGCGAGGTAGAGGGACTGTGGTATGGAGTTCCAGAGGGTGGGGTCAGAGTGGCAGAAGGCCCGCCTCCACAATGGTGGGGGGAGGGGGGGCGTGCGAGGTGGGGGACGTGAACCCGCTGGAGCCCGCTGAGCAGAGGGAGAAAGCAGGATGGTAGGGCGTTAGGAGGTCAGGAGGAAGGCCAAGGAGGGTTTTGAAGGTGAGGACCAGGATTCTGAACTGTATCCTCTGTGTGATGGGTCAGTGGAGTCGGGTGATGATGGGGTGGTAGGGTTACAGAGCCTTGTGCGGGAGAGGACATGAGCTACAGAGTTCTGGATGATCTGCAGTTTATGGAGGGAGGAGTTGGGGAGGCCAAGAAGCAAGGAATTTGCATAGTCATATACATTCACTCTACCCTCATTTTCTGAAATTCAATCGGTGCCGCTATCTGCTTATAAGAACTAAGAATAAGAGGCACATCTATTCTCACTCTCACTGCCAAATCACTACATGCCCAGGCACGTGCCAACCTCTCCGATATAAATAAATAATAATAATCTTTGCATTTGATATAGCACGTCTCAAAGCGCTTCACAGAATATACTGTATAGTGAATTGACTGTATGTTTTTTTGTGGGCGAAACACGGGAGCCAATTGCACACAATTGTTTGTGTTTGTCCCACAAACCGTCATGGATTGAGTGAGCAATTAGTTATTTTTAAAAATTATTTTGAAGTAATTATTATCCCTGGAAAAGTGATCCGCCAATCGACTAACAACTGGTTTCCTACTTACTGTTAGGTAAAGAGAGGTAAGGAAATTTGCCCAACATTTTGTCCTGCCAGGAATCAAACTCAGTTCTCTCGCTTATGAGGCGAGTGCTCTAACCACTACAACAACAACAACAAGATTCCACTTATAAAGCGCCTTTCACGTCAGGAGGACGTCCCAAGGCGCTGCACAGTTGGGTCATGACCCGAGCAGGGGGGAAATGGTCAGGATGAGGGGAGGGAAGGGAGGGAGCGAGGAGGGGGGAAATGGTCAGGGTGAGGGGAGGGAAGGGAAGGAGGGAGCAAGGAGGGGAGAAATGGTCAGGGTGAGGGGAGGGAAGGGAGGGAGCGAGGAGGGGGAAGAGAGTCGAGAGGGGAGCTGAAGGCACGGTCAAAGAGAAAGGTTTTGAGACCGGCCTTGAAGGAAGAAAGGGAGGAGGCGGCGAAGGCACTGGGGGATGGAGTTCCAGAGCCTGGGGGCTGAGAGGCTGAAGGCCCGACCACCGATGGTAGGGCGGTTGGGGCGGGGGACGTGGAGCAGACCAGAGCCAGAGGAACGGAGGGTACGGGCAGGTAGGTAGGGGGATAGTAGGTTGGAGAGGTAGGAGGGAGCAAGGCCGTGAATGGCCTTGTAGGTGAGGATGAGGATCTTGAAATCAATCCTCTGGGGGATGGGGAGCCAGTGGAGGCGAGCGAGGGTGGGAGTGATGTGGTCCCGAAGCCTGGTGCGGGACAGTACACGAGCTGCAGAGTTCTGAATGACCTGCAGCTTGTGGAGGGAGGTGGCGGGAAGGCCGGCGAGGAGAGAGTTCCCATAGTCCAGCCTTGAGGTGACAAAGGCGTGGACCAGGGTTTCAGCAGCGTGAGGGGTGAGGTAATGCCGTAGTCTGGCGATGTTCCGGAGGTGATGGAAGGCGGTGCCAGTTGTGGTGCGGATGTGAGGGAGAAAGGACAGCTCAGGGTCGAACAAAACGCCGAGGTTCCTGACTGGCTTTGAGAGGTGGAGAGTGCAGCCTTGGATGCTGATGGTGTCAGCGCCTGAGGTGCGGAGGCGCTGACGTGAGCCAATCAGGAGGGCCTCGGTTTTTCGCACGTTGAGCTGAAGAAAGTTGTCTCTCGTCCAGGACTCGATGTCGGACAGGCAGCTGTCAGGACATCGGTGGTCGTGGAGTTGAGAGTAGAGGAGGAAAGGTAGAGTTGGGTGTCATCCGCATACATGTGGAAGTTAACTCCATGTCTGCGGATGATGTCACCAAGGGGGAGCATATAGAGGGTGAAGAGGAGGGGACCAAGGACAGAGCCCTGAGGGACACCACATGAGACAGTACGGGGGGTGGAGGAGAAGCCATTCGTCGAGACAAAGTGAAGACGGTGAGAAAGGTACGACCTAAACCATTCAAGGACAGTGCCTTGAAGGTTGAGGTGGGAGGACAAGCGGTGGAGGAGGATAGCGTGGTCGACCGTATCGAATGCTGCCGATAGGTCGAGGAGGACGAGGAGACAGAGGGAGCCCTGGTCACAGATGGTCAGGATATCATTGGTGACCTT